TATTTTTTCAAAAGAATTTTTAAAAAAAAAAATTATAAAATGTTGTTTAAATGTTAAAATAAAAAAATAATTTTTTAATATACAAAATTACTAAAAAAAATATGTAATTTTTTTTTAACACACTATCTGGGGTTTATACAAATGTGAAATTTGGAGAATATGACTTGAGGCCACTCAATAAGACAAACCACAAATATCAATGGGTAATGCAGCATTCCAATTAAAACAACTATGGTTTACTGTACCAAAAAAAAAACATGGTTTCCGTATATTTCTATTATACAAGATAGTATAGTTATTTACATATGGAAACAATAATAATATTTTAATGGCACTGTTGCGTGGAGTTTAGGGTCACTGGATTTTTATTTTTTTTAATTTCTCTCAATTGTTTTCCATGAGATGAGTGAGCTACCATGAGAACTCAAAAGTAAGAATGGTTGGAATCAAAAATAGCAATTGTGAGATGGGGAGAGATAAAACAAAATCTTAAAGAACAAAAAATAGGAATGAAAACCTAGAAGAAAGATGTTTAATTGTAAAGTGATAGGTTGTTAGAAGAATTTTCGCTAAAAAAAAAACAAGGAGAGTGGGATAGAGAGGTTGGTAAAATGAGGTTAAAATTGTATTTTACAAAATTGCATTATTTTTTAGTTTTTTTTTTTTCAAAAGCCACCAACCCTTGGTTAAAAAATATATAGCATTTTAAATTTAAATTTTTTAAAAAATAGTTATCCAAACATCTTAAATTTCTCAAAATGATTTTTTTTTATAAAAAAAAGCAACTTTTTTTAGAAGAAATTGTCCATTCAAATGGGTATTGATGTCTTTATATTATAAGAGATAATTTTATCTTTTACATATATATAAATACATAAAATTGTGTGAATTTATATTTTTTTTCTTTTCTCTATATATTTTTATTTATATAAAAAATAAAATTATGTCTTATAACACAAAAATAATTAAATCCCGTATTCTTTTATTTTTGCAACTGTGTCTGTGGGGTTGCGTTGCGCTATGATTGGATGAGTGAGAAGAGGTATCAGTCAAACAGTGGGAAGTGATTAGTATCCCCTGTCTTATTGTTATGATATGTTCAACTGCTTGTCGGTTATCCGTTATCCGAAACATCTGGAAGTACGCGAGTCTCAAGTTTCAGACTTCAACAAAACAACCACGTGTCCCCAATTATTAGAGATTTTTTTATTGACACCAATTACAAGAAATTTAGGGATCCCTCGACCATACCTGTTTTTTATATAATTTCTGGATGAAATTATATACCACCTATCAACAAAAATCTTTACATCAATTAATGGGGTTGAATCCATCCCTTGAGAAATATGAACCAAATATTTAGTCAATTATGTTCATCTTTATTGCCAATCACTTAATTTTTTAAAGTTATCATTAATTAATAAGGTAATAAAGAACTAATTTAAAATAGTATTAACATTTAAATTATTTCAATAAACATGTTAATAATAAAAACAGTCAATATTTTGTTTTAAAAGTAAAAGTACAATAATTATTCTCGAGTCAAAATTAAAAGATTAACTTACCATTAATTTTTTATCATAAAATTATAGAGCTCAATACTAAGGCACAAGATAACTTAACCATAAAAAATAAATGATTAATTATGAATGACATAATAATTAATTAAAGAGAAGTGTTAAGTAGACTAGAAAAAGAAAAATAACAGAAAATCCGACTCATCTCAGTTGTAACGAAAGTTTTTTTTTTTTTTTTTGTACAATAAAAACAAAAATTTCTAAAAGCTGCTTTGTTATAATAAAACTGTCCGGGCAATGAAAATGCCGAGACCTATCATTTTCCTTAGTTAAGAGGTCATGTAAAAAAAATTGAAGTTAAGGTTATTATTGGCATATATCGTTTTTTTTATTTTAAGTTTCTGTAATTATTTAGCCTTTTCATATTATAAATGGAAATGCCGAGACCTATCGTTTATCCTGATTCATTTAGTGTATGCTACATCAAACGGGCTCAAGTCTAAATTATTAAGAAAAATAAAATTACAATAAGTCAGAAGCCCACAACAGTACTAGACCTCTACAGACCCCCCCTCCCCCCGCGCAAACAAGGGTCCTCATCAGTTTGCGAAGTATGAATCATACTTAACAATTATCTCTCGAATTAGACGGCCAATCAAATATATATATATATATATATATATATATATATATATATATATATATATATATATATATATATATTAGGGAGAGAAGGGGGGAGAGGTTATCGTTTCTCCTGTCACGGAAGATAAAATTATCTCTTTTAATCTCAAAATTATGTCATTTTGAGGGTTTGGAGAATTAACGAATGATATTTTGGTAAAATTCATATAATAGAAAAATAAACAAAATTATCAAAACACCTTTAATTAATTCCTCCAACCCTCAAAACAACATAGTTTTGGGGTTGAGGAGATAATTTTATCTTCTGTGACAAGAGAAATATTTTTCATGCTAGATGAGATAAACTTATCTTCAGCAACCCCAAAATGATGTCGTTTTAGAAATTTGATAAAAAAACAAATGATATTTTAGTAATTTTACTTTCCTTTGGTATTATGTAATTCTACTAAAATACTCTTTATTTATTTATTCCAAACCCCCAAAACGATATCATTTTGGGATTACACGAGATATCTCATGTTGCAAGATAAATATTATTCTAAACATAAAAGTGTATGAGGCCTTTATTTTCTTTTTCTCTATATTCTTTTCACATGGCCTCATATAGGGTTATACACTTTTTAAGTCTGTGTAGGAGATAAAATTATTTCTTACAGTCTAAGAAATGTTAATCTATATACATATATATATATATAGAAAAAAAATATTTCTACAACCACTTTAGATAAGATTATCTACAACTACCCCAAAAACTACGTCGTTTTGATTAATGAAGGGTGTTTCTATAATTTTAGGTGAATTAATGAAGGGTGTTTCAGTAAAATGTATATGATAAAAAATAAATAAAATTACAAAAACACCCTTCATTAATTCACTTAAAATTACAGAAATATCCTTCATTAATCAAAACGACGTAGTTTTTGAGATAATTGTAGTCTGTAGATAACCTTATCTAAAGTGTCTGTAGAAATATTTACCCATATATATATATGTATATACGTGTGTGTGTACTACTTGTAGTACATAGTTATAAACTTATAATATTAAAGTTAAAATTTTTTTCCTTTCTCCACGTCAGCAGATAAGTTCTAAAAACTGACTGACGAGAGAGGAAAAAACAATTTTTAACGTTATAATTATGTAGTATCCAAAATACATAGTTAAAAGGAATAGTTTGATATAAGCTTATCTCAAGTGGCTGGAGAAATGTTAACCATGGCTTATCGTTTCTCAAGTTGTTTAAGATAACTTTATCCCCGGCTAATAAATATAACCGCACAACGATGGATCAATGGTAATAAAGAAAGAGAAAATCATAACCATTTAGAGGTGAATCAATTAATATAAGGAAATAAATAAACAAAACGACGTAGTTTTTGGGTGGACGAAAATAAATATAATTTTCTCATATATATATATATATATATATATAGGGTTTTACAAGAGTTATGTTGTAAGAAAAGTGAAGTGGTCATGTTATAGAAATTCGTATTCCGTGCCTTAGGATTTTTTTTTTTCTTAAAAAAATGTGGGGTCCATAAAATGTTGTATGTGTAGGAAACTCTTTTTTTTTTCTATTGCATGATGGATGTAAACCCCATATATATATATATATATATATATATATATATATATATATATATATATATATATATATATAGGCAGGATCCTTTGACATTGGCGTCAAATTTAAATTTTGACATCTCATATGAGAGCGATTAGATAAAAAAAGATCAATGGTGTCATATGCTTATAATCAGAGTCATTGATCTTTTTTGATCTAACGGCTCTCATATGAGGTGCCAAATTTTAAATTTAAGATTGATGTCAAAGTATGGTATATATAAAAGGAGTCATATATATAAAAGCAGTCACGACCGCACGAGGCATACATTACTTACATGCATTAGAAAATGAAAGAGAGATGTTGGAGGCGCTTGTATTTTCTAGAAGAAAACAGGAATAAGAAAACTTGGTTATTATAGATAGATAGACGCGACCCCAGTGACGACGTTGCTTGCGAATGTATGATCAATTGTATTTGTATTCCCTGTGTGCCAACCAACCGAGACCGAGTGAGGACTGAGGACGGTGACCAAAGAGCTGACGCAAAAGCACATTTGTGGTAATCGCCCCGAAGAAGCAGCCCAAGCATTATAAATAAATATTTGGATATATGACGTACTTTATTTATTTTTTTCATTTGCCGATTCAGATATGGATATATTGACTAATCAAGTTAAGTATCAAAATGAAAATTACAAATTACTTTTAAAATTCAAAATTAAAATTCAACCAAGTTTGGCAGTGTAACGATTCTCATAAATTCATTAATATTTTTTCTGAAGCTTCCGGGTAAAGAAAATTATGTACAACTATGATGATACGAATGAAGTAATATATTGTTCTGACCAAGTTTGAAACAACAATCGATTTCCACGACATGTACAAGACCAAGCTGGCAATAGCATTACAGACTTAAGGGGGAAAAAAGGAGAGAAATGATTCGGAGAATATTAAAAAAGTATAGCCCAAGGTAAACACGTATTAATTTGTTCAAATCCTATTCCATTCCTTCCATTCAACTAAAAAATCGTGTTTAAGACGCAGGCACCCAAGTACATTCGTTCCCCTTCCATAATCCAAAACATTTAGTGTCACCAAGTTGTGTAGTGTGGGTTTATTAAAAAAAAAAGAGCAGACGTATCACGTAACACTATTTTGACCAAGAAAAAGTCATCCCATGGAGCTTTCGTGGCTAAAGCATAGATGACCACCCACTTCACTCTTCCCACAAAATCACCAACTCACCCTCACTTCTCTATTGCCTATTCATTCACTCATCTTACTCGCAACCCACTATATAAATACCATTCCTCACAACTCATAATTCACAATTCACAACTTACAATCAACTCTCTTTCTTTCTTACTTACTTACTTACTTACACTAAATCTAGTTAGATAAAGTTGTAAATGGCTTTGGAGGCTCTGAATTCTCCTACCCCATTCCCCTACGAACAAGAGGAGGTTGACCTTGAGAGCGTTGAGCCATGGACCAAGAGGAAGCGCTCAAAACGATCCCGTTTCGAGATCCCATCAAATCCAACAGAGGAAGAGTACCTGGCTCTCTGCCTCATCATGCTCGCCCACAGCGGCAACAACAACACTTCTCCGCACCTGAATATTCATCACGACACACAAACACAAACACAACCACAGCCACAACCTATCACTAAGCAGACTCATAGATGCACCGTTTGCAACAAAGCCTTTCAATCTTACCAAGCACTCGGAGGCCACAAGGCCAGCCACCGCAAGTCCTCGTCGACCGAAGCCTCCAACTCTACTTCTACCGCCGCCGCCTCCGCCGCCGGAAGGATGCACGAGTGCTCCATTTGTCACAAGGCTTTCCCGACGGGTCAGGCTCTGGGCGGCCACAAGCGATGCCACTATGAAGGCGGCAACAACACCTCCTCTGAGGCTACCGCCTCCACCCACAGCCACCGTCCTTTTGACTTGAATTTGCCGGCAACCCTCACCGACTTCTGGGTCGGCGGCGGTGAACAAGAGGTGGAAGGCCCTTTGCCGGAAACAGCCAAGAAGCCGCGTTTGTCTTTGGGTGTAGCTTCCTCAGAGTCCCACAGAATTCGTTGAATTTGCGCTGCAGTGAATCATTCACGCACAGATTCAAACGACTTAGTATTCATTTGTTTGTTTTGTTTTTTTGTTTTGGGTTCATGGGTTGTGGCAAAATCGGAGGATCGATTGAAAACTCGGATTTTGTAAATTGCTTAATTCTTTCGTTACTCTGTACATACAAAATTGGCCATTACCTTTCTACTCTATCTCTCTGTCATGAATTAGAGTAGATTTAAATTTTTTATTTTTTAACTTGTTGACGTCACAATGTTATTTTATAACAGAATATATGCAAACAACAGTAATATGATTTGTTACTATTTTTTTTTTACCATTATCTTGATTTCCATTTTCTTATTTACTGCTCTAATTTCTTCTGAACATAAATTTAATATCAGTACACGCTCTCGTTCCGTAGTTTTTCACAAAGTAAATTTTTTTCCTTTACCCTTTTCGCGTTAAAAAACATAATTTTTTATGGAAAAATTTAATAAAAAGAGAGATATATGATACAACTTCTGTTATACATATAATTAGCACTACAGATGAGCAAATACTATTGCATTTTGATTTTATTATATCATATGTTGAGTCAAGTACAAAGTATACTTCTGTATCACCCCAAAAAAGAAAGTACAAATGTAATATGCTTGGAGTTTGACTGTGTCAAATGTGGTAAAAGTGAGAATCAAGCACCCCTTAATTTAGGAGAACTAAATCTAGTACAAAAGTAATATTTTTTTATCTCATTTTTTAGGTAGGGGGGGTGTTAATCTGCTATCACCAATAATAATATTTGCCAATCGAGCTAATCCTATAATTAAAGGTGGAGTCCATTCATGGTGGATTGCACTGAAACAAAACAATATAGGATTTATCAGGAAGCTGGATTAAGTCATGGTGTTTTCAATCAATAATCAAATGGGTGAAGTTTTTTTAACCCAACTTTTCTCTAAGAAAAAGAAAAGTACACTGCCGGTTCACACAGGACGGCAGAAAGAAACAATATTCCAAGAAATGGTTGTTTAATTGTTAAGTTTTAAGTCAATTTGATAGCTTAAATGAACTGCCCTCATTAATTAGGATTGTTGAAGTTTTAACACAATGGAAATTAAGGCTCACAAGCTACTGTTAGCTTACTGGTAGATAACTAATTAATACAAGTCCCGTCTCACATTCAGAGAGGAAAAGGGAAAGCACGATGTTAGGCTAATGGTTAAGGTGGATTGAACAGAAACCCTCCCATGTGCTTCCTGCCTTTAATGTACATTTTTGTATCATCATACCGAATTTGCAACACCTTTCTCTTGTGGCTGTGGACACTTGTTATTGGGTTGATTTCGATCCATCCATCCACTAATTGATAATGAGAACTCCTTATTTAATTATACGTATCCAGATTCAAGAATCGGGTATTAGATTTAAAATGTAAATTTAAGAGTAAATATCTTTTTTAGTCCTCAGCAAATTTCACGATACATGTTTTAGTCCCTAGCAAATAAAAAGGCCCATCGTGGTCCTTAAGAAATTCAAAATGGACTCATTTTAATCTTTTTTGTGACTAATATGGGTCTTTTTTGAATTTGTGAGGGACCACGATTTCAACTAAATGAATCCATTTTGAATTTCTTAGAGACTACGATGGGCCTTTTTATTTGCTAGGGACTAAAACGGGCATCGTGAAATTTGCTAAGGACCAAAAGGGTATTTACTCTAAATTTAATAAGCTCTAATGTTATATAAATAGATTTTCAAGTATTTCGAAAATTAGACTGTTAATCTATCAATCATCTGCTAATATTGAGGAAAAAGGGAGTAGAGGTTGCAAATTTAATTCAGCAAGCTCTAATTAGTAATAATTTTCTGATCAAATCTTTTCGTTCAAGTCGTGTGGCCATGTGGGGAATGCTTCAACGTGATATTTTACACTAATAAATAATTGCGCATTCAGATTAAGCTACGTTAATTGAGTAGTGAACAAAATCTTCCAAGTTATGTGGCTATAATGCAAGCCAGATCAGGGTTTAACTCTTTAAGCAAGAAATTGTGACTTGAAGGAGGGCGTTAATGCTATGCGTGCCGTGTTGTCAAAGTCGGTTCCTCTAAACACGGTCATCCCTAACATATTTTATATTATACTTGTCCAAATATGTTATTGTTATTCTCTTTCCTTAATTAACTTGGCAGGCAAAACAATTCTAACGGAATGTCTTGTTTGGAAGTTGTGGCTGCCAATCCTTAAACGTGGCTGCTTCTTTCTCTTTCTTCGTTTCGTCTGTTTTTTTTTTTTTTCATGTTTCTGTAGTAGATAATTTGAGAGAGAGAGAGAGAGAGAGAGATTGGGCTGCTTCTTAAGGTTGCAATTGGTTTAGAGTAAGGAAAGTTTGAAAAGCAGTGTGTATAAATATTCTTTATTAAGTGGGATATACCTAAGGGTGTATGAATATTGCTTCAATGATCAGTTTTAAGTTTTAACACGTGCGATAAAAAAGAACAAAAAATTTGTGCTAACTCCTATAAGGTTTGGATGAGATGAGATGAGAAATACAAGTTGGTATTTTTGTTCTTTGCGTGTAGTAGGTACATATGAAGCAAGCCCATGCACGGATTTATCCTTTCCTTTTCTCGGAAAAGAAAAATGCCAGTAAATAAGGAGTTTAGTAAAGGAGAAAATTTTTTTAACCGAGAATCTCAATTTTCAAAAATATAAATTTTACATTCAGTTTACGAAAATATCTGAAAATTAAAAACTTAAAAAAATTCAGTTTTTCATAAAATTCCAAAAATCTCGCGTAACAAACGGACCTATTAGCGAGGGTCCACAGTACCACCACCGCCTCAAGAAACAAAATAACGTCAATAATTTGATTAAATTAATCTCCATAAAGAACTCGTGGGAAATAAGATGTGGCTTTGAAAACGAATGAAAGGCGTTAAAGAAAGGCATGAGAAACACGAAAGTAAGAGCACTTTGGTGCATTCATTTGAACCGTTTTTATTTTTTTAATCTACTTTTATGTTCTCCACCAAAAAAAAAAAAAAAAATTTCGGTCATATATCTCCTCTTGGCTATTTATATCGTTCCCGTCACATAATTTTCAGGACAAGTGCACATTTTAAGTGATTCAAGTTCCTTTGTTATCAGCATTTACTTCATTTGAAGGTAATGTCATTTGATTAAAGTGTAAATGAATTAGCTCAGCTTATAGAGGTCTACGACTTACTCAATATTAAACCAGACTTGACTGATTATATACAGTCAAATAAAACATATTTAAGCTTTTAAAAAAATTTATTTAAAAAATAGGCTGCATGTCTTTTTTTACATGTCGGACCTATAAGTCTACGGGTCAGTCCGTATTAATTATATAATTTATTTAAAATAAAACAAATAAAATTATTATTTTAATATTTTTAATAATAAAATAATATTATTTTAATTATTGAATGTTTGATATGCTTAAACAGGCTAAAAGCCTAGGACTAGATTTTTATTTTTTAAATATATATCAGATCATACTTATAATCTAGGTCTATATGAGGCTAACAGGTCATGTCAAACTTAAGGTATTTTACACAGGCCTAAATTATTTAAACCATAGTCTAGCCTATTTACACCTTTGATATATATATTGGCAACCATTAATTGTTCTTTTGTCAAAGTCATTATATTTCATATATCAATGTTAATAACAAGCCAAACTAATGTTTTCTCTCGTGCAAAACGAAACTATAAATTTGAACATCAGCAAGTTCAACCCTCGCATACATTGTCATCGAGTAAAAATAGTATGACAAATCACTTGATTAATCACTTCAATATGACGTTAACCTTCTTGTTACTTCCATATCGTTTCAATTAATCTGTATAGTCATGGATATTTTTCTTTTTCAGTGTTCTATGCAATCTGAGCTCTCTGACTAAATTGTCACATTGTTGAGTTTTTGAATACTTAATTTAGTTAATACGGTGATTAATTCAACTACAAACAACTACCAGATCAGGGACAACAAAACACAAGGGGGGAAAATTGAAATTTCAGTTAGCCTACTTTCCCAGCAGATACTATTCCGAAATGCACCTGGTTTTATGATTTGTGAGCAATTGATATTTAAGCCCCAAGTTTATATTAGTTTATCAATAAATAACTATAGATAATATTCATTTTTTTCCCTTCCTTTTTTTAGACTGTTAACCATGGCCCATGATCACTTGCTTGGTAGGCAGTGACAGGGCCATTTCGCCGAAATGACCGAGCAACCACATTCCCGTGTTAGTTTCCGCTGTGATTCTTTTTGGGCTTCAAGTGGAAACCCAGTTCGCCTAAATATTCGCAAGTGGCAAAATAATGTTAGGTTAAATTAAAACGATTAGAAAGTTTAATGAATTTGGTCTACAACGAGCATTTTGCCTTGATGGCTATTGCTACATGCCTAGTTGACTCTTTTTCTTTTTAATCATATATGTAAGACATTTTTCCTTGATGGCTATTGCTAAATGTTGTATGCATAATGTAAAGCGCGACTACTTCCAGGATAAATGAGTGTCCCCATGAATTAATACGAGAGTTTTTAACGTGTTTTGTTTTCGCTTATACACTTTTTGAGAAACTTCCTAAAAAGTTATTCATTCCAGAATTACTCCAAGTTAAGCATGCTTAACTATAAAGTTATTAAGTTATGGTCTACCGAAAAATAAATGCATCTTATTTGTATAAGTTGTACATATTAATTCTTTTAAATTATTATCAATTGTATATTCTCATACCTACACAACCTCTAGATCCCTCTTGTTCGGATATTAGATTCTATTTATTCATGTACCCCTTATGTTGGAAGCCTGCCAAGAGCCTTTTTTACAATGTTTTTAAACTCAATCTGATCATTAACCCCCGGTCGAGGAACTGAGTCATTGGTTCAACCGCATGTCCCGATAAATACATGCAAATCTATAATTTATATTAAAAAAATTATAAACATACTCAAATACTTGTAAAAAAATAACACTGTTATGGACCCATATAAGAGGCCCATTTGATGATAAGCCCAACAAGGGACAATCCAATATTTAAGTTAAGAATAACCATGGATAGTATCCGTCAAAGATACTAATCCTAATGCGAAAGCATAGCTGACGGGCCCGGGCCTTCATCAGAGGCAGTAAAGGCCCACATCATATCACCAACAGGTAACTCCTAGAAATAAGAGATAAACCCTAGAGGTATGTTACGCTCTCTCTCTTACTGTTATGTTGTCACTGTGCGCACACACACCCCATTGGAAAAGCCGTT